CCCCAAAACCCCAAAACCCCAAAACCCCAAAACCCCAAAACCCCTTTTATTCAATAGAAAATTGAATGAGATCATAATTTCAGATTTTAATGTTAGGATCAAGGCAAATGGGACATTACAATGCTTCAGCTCCGGAAATAATTTCACACAATTCCATGGTAATGGACTGCTGTCTGGCTTTGTTAAACTCAAGGGTCAGTTTCTCAACCATTTCTCCTGCATTCTTGGAAGCATTGTCCATTGCAACCATTCTTGAAGATTGCTCACAAGCGGCGTTCTGTAATTGAGCGTAGTATAAGTTAGAAGAGATATAGAGCTCGTAGATGGCTGGAACAGCTGTAGTAGCATCTGGCTTCTCCATCTCATATAATCTTTGGAATTTCATGCATTCAGCAAATCTCTTTTTAGTCATTAACTCAATTCTATGAATCTTGAAGGTCACAGCGTTGACAAATTTGTTGTGAACAAGGACGATTTTATCGTAATCATCAGCCATTCTGCCAATTTTATCAGCCAAGGCAAGAGAAAGACTGTAATTAATTGGGTAAGTGAGATCAGTAGCTCCTCCCTTATAGATTGAAGCAAATGGCCTTCTGAGAGCATTTGATCCTTTCTCTCCCAATGAGTAAATTCCAAACCTGTTAGTCTCGGATCCAATATAGCCTCTGAGCATTCTTGCGAGTCCTGAGTTGATACTTCCACAGAGTCCTTTATCTGAGGTAATTGGGATGAGCAATTCTCTTGGTTCAGCTACCTCGGCTGGCATCTTTCTTTGCATGTAGAGGTCTGCTTTGAAAATATGGTCAACTGCATTTCTTCCATAGTTCTCTCCAGCCCGGAGTCTCTTAATATCTTGATTCATTTTGGAAGAGGCAACCATTTTCATTGATTTGGTGATCTTCTCAATAGTGGTTACTGACTTTAGTCTTTGAACGATGACTCTTTCTTTACCTCCGAAGTTTCTAACCGATTGTCTCCAAAGTCTTCTGGCAGTGTGTCCTCCTGTTATAAACATTTTATTATAATTTTTGTCAATAATTTTATAATAATATGGGGTTTTGGGGTTTTGGGGTTTTGGGGTTTTGGGGGTTTTGGGG